AATGGGGTGTTCTTTTGTAACAAATCCCTTTTGTGTTCATATAAAATTATTTAAATTTCTTGATATTTCTATGCATGCTGCGTAACAATTATTACTTCCATTGAGATTTTTATATATATATATATATATATATATACACACACACACACACACACAATCTGCAAATAAGTGAATATAACGGACACAACTGGAATTGGAACATAGCTTTCTGAGCCATCATACCACCCCCACATCCAAGCTTACAACACCTGTTATCCTCAAGCAGTCACCACCAAGTTACTGTCCAGTCGCAATGTTGCTCAACTTCAGTGTTCCATTCATGTGTGTTTGCGTTCATCCAAATAATCCATAGCAATTATGGTCAAGATTAAAGATATGCCAGTCATTTTATTTGATTGTCACATTTTAATTGAAGATTTGACCCTTTCACCTTGGCTATTTGCACTTGAATGAAATCCAGTGCTTGATTATTGCTCTCCTGATATGGCCACTGATATAACATCATCAATCAAATGTCAAAAACACAAGTTCAAAAGAAACAGTACTAATTATGACATTTTAAACCATGGCACTATAATCAGAAACAATTATGTCGATTAACCACCCTAGTGGAACCAATAGAGTCGATTTTAGTCTTGAATACATTTATCTAATTATGCTAGACAGCGATTGCTTTGTGAGAGTTGCCTTTGCGTAAAATTGAACTAGCACAATCATCTTATTTCAACCTATCAAACTTTTTAATTATTTCATAGGCAGCATGTTATATTATCATATATTTGTTAAATTTTCAAATATTAAAAGTGTGAACACTGCCTACTTCTATTGATTTCATTTAGATTATTTTTTGCTTACATTCTTTTATTCTTTATATTATCTAAATGCCAAGATAGTTACCATTTTCAGAGTAGAAATAGCTTTATTTGGAGAGCTGAGCATTATATATATATATATATATATATAATAAAAAAGTTTAAAAATGCCTCAAAGGGATAATCACAAAAGAACAGACTGGAAAAGAATAACTATACTCTATTTTAAAAACTTGATTTCTAAAACTGATTATGAGAATTAGTTAGCAGTTCTAGCTACATTGAAATAAGTTAGGCTCGATACAAAACATACTGTTAGATGTCAATGATAAAGCTGCATCTATCTGATCTCATTTTATGCATTTGCTTAGGACAAGAATGTACACTTATTAAATGAAAAAATAAATATTAGAGCAAAATGAAATGTAATATCAAACATGGAAGATTAAAGCCACATGCTACCATTTTGACAGCATCCTAACTACATTACTTGATTCTGTGACATCTTAGAGTAATGCCCACATATTGGACAGTGGAATTCGTAGGGCTATACCACAATCAAGATGAGAGTAACTGATGAAGGATTGGAGTGAAATAAAATGTAATGGTAAATGTGAAAGATTCTAGTCTCGCAAGATGTGATCTAAATGTGAAGATGGTTACCACTTTCTGGACAGAAATGGATTTATTTGAACAACTAAGCAATTTAACTATAAAATCCTTTAACAGGATAATCAATTAGTTAATATAGCAAAAGACCAAACTGAAATGAATAACTAAACTCAGTTATTTTTCAAATTTGACTTAAAGCTGAATATGAAAGTTACCTCAGTTTAGCTAGAACCACTAAGTTGGTCAAGATATAAAACATGCTGTTAGTTATCAGTGATAAAAACGGCATCTACCTGGAGTTAGTTTTATCACAAGATTTTTTTTTTTTTGAGCATATTTCTTGTACTTTTCTACGGAACTGAATTTTTGATGGTATTTCTTCCTTGTCTGAGAAGGATTATTCATAATTTGGAAAAAGATAAGAATTTATTAAGACAAAATATCTGTTGCTTTTCATAATATTTACTGCCTAAATATCACAGCTGTTTGAGGTTTCCTCTAGCCCCACTGAACTTAAAGTCAATTCAGGTTTGCTATGGTAAAAATTTTCTTTCCCAAATAAAAATCATCACAAAAATGGCAAAAGTCATTTTGTCACAGCTTATTTTCTCTCAAAAAATGGATTTTCATACTTTTATAGGGGTAAAATATTGAAAATAACTGTTTTATCATCATCTAAACAAATATCAAGGAAACTTTTGATCTGAACCCTATGAAACTAGGTATTTTCTGAAAGCAAAGGATATATTCTTTCATTTAAAAGTAAAATTAGCTGGTGTAAATGACTCAATTTTTTTCAGTGGGTAAAATGTGAAAAAAGTGAAAATTTTGCATTTTTTTCTTGTTCTAAACAAATATTTCCCCCATTAATGGGAAATTAACCAATTTTTTTTTTTTTTTTTTTGAAAATCAGAAAGCCTAAATCATAATCAAACTATTTCAGGCATAAAATTGAGAGTTTTGAAGGAAATCAACATTCCTAGGGGTTCAAAATGCGACAAAATCCATTGTTAATTTTCAATTATATGACTGCCAAGGGTTAAAAAAAAAAAAAAAAAATTGACACCCAGCCACAGAAATCTTTAGTAAAAGGCAAGAGATTTATCTGCAATTCCTAACCACCAGAAACCAAGAGTTTTTTTTCAAAAAAAAATAGCGATAAGGAAACTTAAACCTAATTGACTTTGACGTCTAGGTCAAAGGTCAGCCAGCCAGCAATAAACGGCAAACCTTAGAACAAGTTGTAATAAAGCCCCCCACTCCCAGATAAAAGCAAAGAGTGAAAAAAAAAAAGGGGGTTCAACATTACGAGGGCTTGATGAGTTTTGTTTTGTTTTTAACACCCCGTGACCTGGGTGATGACAACAACACTTAGCAGACGACATTGTTTTTTTTTTTTTTCACTGCATATTTTTCGTATTTCCCCATCGCCGGTCCATTTAACCATTCCTTTTATTCAATGATGTTCATGCCAAATGAAAGAGAAAGGAATGAATTTTGAATGATATTATTTTGAAGCAAAAATAAATATTTTTTCATTAAAAAAAAAAAAAAAAAAAAAAAAAAAAAAAAAAGGGATTTTTTCTCAGGAAATTGGGTATAATTTCTTAATGCTAACTGCCTAGTGACATTTTCCACAGCCAAATCGAAGATTAATTACCAGTGAATAATTCCATGTGCAAACAATAGCTGTCTGGATCCTATAAAGTCGCCCTAAAAGGGTCCAGAAGTTTACTAATTGATCAAAAACCTGTTGCACATAATTGTATTTTTCATGGTCAGTTTCCATTATTTCATCTTGATATTATCATTTTCAGACAGCCAAGTCATCAAGGATTCAGGGAAACAGTTTGGCATAGGTTTTCTTTAAGAACTTTACATTCTATGAGGTGTTTAAAATGTTACTGATGAATGAGATTTTTTTGCCGAATATTTCGTTTACGCGCCATGTTGGATTTTCCTATATGACAAAAACAAGGGTTTTAAACAGCTGTGATATACAGAACAAAGATCTTTTCCAAATTTTGGCCTCTTCCCTCCAGGTTTCAACATGACATGAGTGTAAGTCTACAAATTCCAGAGTGAAATAAAATGTAATGTTACATACAAGAGATTCAGCCTTTTTGTTTGTCAATAATAATAGCCCAGTTTTAATACCTGAAAATTTCATGGTTTTCCTATTTTAAATTCTTCCATTAATGATTGAATAAACTAATGGTGAATTCCAGGACAACATATCCATATAAATTCCATATCACATTGTTATATATTTGAGCTTGACAACTTTAAAATATTGCAATAACAATCAAATTATGAATGCCTGTTGTTATTTTACAAAAAAGGGTACAAATGAAAAGATTTGAAATTGACAACTTTCCATTCAAATGAATGAGACATTAAACGCTTCTATCTTCCTATCCTCCCTTCTCTCACTGATGAAAACAGGGAAAATGCCACTGGTCAAAATGGAATAGTCCATTATTTATGAGGTATTGGCAAAGCATAGCAGTAATGCAAACTAACAAAGGGAGGGGAAAAGCAAAATTAGAAGATATGTCCCTTAGCTGTTTACCTCTGGGTTAAAGGTTTAGACCAGAGGAGGAGTCAGTGTTAACTTTATGTAAGTTTATTTCTCTTGCTATTATGCCAAAACAAACACAAATGAACAGTGCGACTTTCCTAAGACATTTCTTATACATTATAGTAAGTTAAAATTAACAAAGAAAATCACCAAGTTACACTGTGACCAATGTTTATTTCATACAATGGGGAAAAAAAAAAAAAAAAAAAAAACGAAAAAAAAAAAAAAATTACTGCTACAAGAGTAGCTAATTTTTCAAATTTTAAATGGGGCATAAGTAAAGTGGAACCAGAAACAATTACATTCATCCTCAAATGTAATCTTTATTTGTTAAATTCTCTCTCGCTTTCACAACTTTGTCTCTTTCACTCTTTTTACCACAACAAAAGCATCTTCAACTTGAAATTATCACAAAAATACGTAACACAAAATAAGTTGAAAGGGAGATAACTCGCTATACAATAAGGTATCGGTTTAAAAGGCAATTTTTTTAAAAACATAATAACACAGATTGAAAGAACTGGACAAAAGGGAGATGGCGAATTATAAAAATTATATATATATATATATATATATATATATATATATATATTCCCAAAATGATTTTTTGCTTTTTTTTTTAAAATCAAAAGAAAACGATTTGTAAGATGACACAGTTAACCTCCTCTGTTGTCAACACCAATCAACTTGAAGAATGAAAATACAGAAGGTTGTAACAGTCTGTAAAAAATAAGATTCTATCAAGGAAATTTTTTTTTTTTCCTGTCTTTACAAAACTGATTAGTGATTCTTGTCTAAAGCATAATCAATGCTAGTGTTGCAATACTTTTTATTTCTTTATGAGTGTCAATATCATTAATGAAATTAAAATCCTAATAGCATTAGAGTGTTTTTACTTTTCATACTTCTGAAGAAATTTTTCTCCTTCCTCTTTTGCAGTTGTATCACATTGGTGGTCTTATCCTCCTCCTCCTCCATCCCAGTGACTGTCATTCTTAACTGAAGTCTCTGTTGTTGAGTACAATGGGTGCAACTAGTGTCCATACATAGAGGGCAAGAGCCAGCCAACTGGAAATGATTTTCACCCACATGGAGGCTGTGTTAGAGTTGAGAGTCTTCAGGTCAGAACTTGGTCTGCAAAGAACAAAAGAAAATCTAAGTGCAAATATAAACAGTATAAAGTAAGGAATTTAACAAGCTTTATTGTCTAAGCAAGCAGGCAGGCAGGGAAGAGGAGAAAAAAAAAAAAAAAAAAAAAAAAAAAAAGGAGGAAAAAAAAAGGGAGGAGAAAAAAAAAAGAAGAGGAGAAAAAAAAATGTGATCCAAGAAGAATTAAGAGACACTGGACAACAGTAACAAAGAGCATGAAAGACGACAATCCTTTTAATTGAATGTCAGTGTTGAACCAATTTTCAAAAGGCATAATATAAGCATAGAAGCTCACTTTTCTAACTGGCGTCTCACAATACTTCAGTGGAATTCATAATCAGAGAAAGAACAGACACTTCTCACCAAATTTGTTCATTTTGAATTAGATTTTTTTTGCCTAACAGAACTTAATGTGCAGCAAAAATACTTCAAAGCTTATTTACCAAAATGTGTGAAAAGCGTATTTACCAAAATGTGTGAAAAGCTCTGGGTCAGGCATTCAATGCCTTAAATGCCACTTGTATTTATTATATTGAGTTGGTGCATAATTATCAGGCATTTTAAAACAATATTAGGAAAAAAAAAAAAAATTTAACAATAACATTTTTTAAATGAGTATGATTATCAATACACATTTTTATAATCTGAAAATAAAATATTCATTAAAAAAAAAAAAAAAAAAAAAAAACAGCAACAAATAACTCACAAAAACGCCTGATAATTATGCACCAACCCAATAGAAACAGTTTATCATTAAAGGAAAGCAGAGTTGTTGATTTTACAAGGGAAACCACAAATTAAAGTTTTTTTTTCCTATCCTACCCCCAATCAAAATAAGAAATTGGTATCAGAACAATAATAAACAAAAAAAAAAACTAGGAAAGGTGAAGAAAGTGTAATTTTTTTTTTTTTACAAAATTTGAAATGTCATTAGAAAAGGAAGGCCTTTTAAGCAATTTTAACTACTATTAATACTAAATGAATATCAGACAGATTTTCTTTTGTTTCTCATCTGATTAAATCTTAATTAGAATGAATTTTAGAACCAATCAACAAGAAAAATGAGAAAATTGTATTACTCTAGTTGCAGATATATGAAATTCTATCTGCTAAAAATTTCTGGGAAAGTTTCGATGCCAATTGGAAGGAAGTCAATCGCTTCAGATTTGGTAAATGTAAAATGTTGCCTTGATTTTCTGAGTAAAGTTCATATTTCTTGCTCAGCATCTTGACTAAGATCAGTTAATTCAATAATGTAAAATTCAAATTAATATTTCATTTTTAAGCACGTTAATATTGAATTGAAAGTTGGGAATACTAGAAACATAATGAAGCTCTGTAGCATTACAACTCAAACCTGGTGCCTCATTCAGTTTCAGGATACAGCTTCTTCCAGTCAAATACTTGTGGCTTAAAAATAACCCTTCAACCAGATTGTTACTTACGAATTAAAACCGTGAAACTTTTGTAGCAGTAAGCAACTTTTGTTTTCTGGTTGTAACCTACTGTTATAGACTAATGAAGCAGAGAGGTGAGGAGGAAGTGAACAGTCTAACAGGCATCTTCCCTTTTGTGTCACTGCAAGACTATATTCTCATTCTCCAACTCTTAGCGGCCACTGTCATATTGTCATCTTTGTCTTAAGAAAAAAAGTAATTTATCTTCATTTGGTAACCTACTTTGTCAGGGCTGTTTGCCACGGTCCTTGTGAAGTCCACTTAACTTAGCTGATAATCATCAGGAAAATAAATGTCTGAAACCATTCAGATGTTTTCCATGTAACAAGATATTGTCTGACATCGCTATCAATACAGCAATATTTTCAAATTATGACAACTAAGATACTGCTAGGGTACCCTAGCTGAGTGGCAATGATGTTTCAGCTCTAAAACCATACCTGAGCCGAAGGTCATCATTTGTTTGCAGTAACACAGCCATGAAATTAAAATGGGGTTGGAGAGAAGCAAAACAAAAAAAAAAAAAAAAAAAAAAAAAGAAAAAAATGCTAAAATTTTTTTCATAAGCAAAGACTGATAGTAAATTTATAAATGTGCAAACAATTGTAAATGAAAATTGCACATGGAGAAACAATGATGAAACTTCTGTGATGCAGGGGGAGGGGGTGGAATAGACAAGAGTTAAGAGTGCAAAGAGGTTAGGAAAATATACATTAGTTGCTAATTTAACAAAAAAAATGTCTTTTTTTTTTTTTTAAAGAGATAAGAATAAGAAATGGATTTGTGCAGCCATTTTACTTGGACAAATGAAGAGACTTAAGGCAACAGAAAAATCGTTTTACAGAAGGATGCTGAGAATACCATTGATTGAACATGGGCGAAAAAATTAGTTTTCTAGAAAATGGAAACAAAATAGATACTTGTATTTAGAATCATAATGAGGCAATCAAAATTTCTAGGGTACGTAAAGAGGAAAGAGGGCTTGGAGAATTTGACAGTCAGCAGAAATGTTGAAGACAAGAGTAACACAGAAGAAAACAGCAAATAACCTAACAAACTTGTAAATGGTTGGCAGAACAGGGGTCAGGAGAGATAGCAAAAAGACAAAACCTAAGAGCAATAAAGGACAGGAACATGGGTGGTTGTTTTTTGTTTAGTGGCATATCAACACCTCTATGGGTTATTTAATGCCAAAATGTAAATGAAATTTTTTTTTTTTTAGTGATGAAAAGTTAACTCATACCTGGGAGTGAGAAGAGGTATTTGCATGCAAGTGAATATAACAAACCCAACTGAAATTTTCCATTACCCACACATCAAAGCAGCTGGTATTCCCAAACAGTCACTCATCTAGGTATTGACCAGGCTGAACTTTACATAATTTGAGTGATCATACAGGAACCAGTATTTCAACATGATCTGGCTGTAAGACAACAGGAAGTTGTGGAGAACCATGATCGGCCAAGTCCTGAAGGGACACAATACACATAACATTTTATCTGAAACAGGCCTGAAAAGTTACAAGTACTGACCTGAACCAATTTGTGAGGGTCATCATCACATAGAGAGCGGCAAGGCAGAACATGAAGTGAAAGAAAGAATAGCTGTAGGCAGCTTCTTCTTCCTCATTATCCCAAACATTCTGTCCACTTTTCCCTGGCTCCAAGTCATCAGACTTGGTGGATCCTGATGACAAAGAGCAAAGAAAGAACAATAAAAATTAGAAAAAAAAAAAAAAATAATTACAAACATTAAGTCAAAATTACTAAGCATGCATGTGTGCCTTTACACATATATATATATATATATATATATATATATATATATATATATATATATATATATATATAAAAACACTTTTTGCTTACATCTGTTAACAGAATAAAAACAACTGTTCTAATTTCCAAATTACCTACTGAATAACTTTGGGTATGTAAGTATATTTGTTCCACTGCAGCTGAAGAATTCAAACCTTTCTTGCAATTTGGACTCATTCCCACCCACTCAAAATTAGTTATTTCTCAACAGATTAAATCAAACAGGTCTGTAAATCATAGTATAATTGAAAATCAAAAATAAGGTCATTTCATTTTTTTTTTTTTTTATTCAACTGCAGGAAAAAGCCCAAATGGTTGAAAGCCAACAGAAAGACAATTGGCAAAGATTCAGAAAGGATGTGAATTTATCATTGGATTTTCAAGTCAACATACAATCTTTTGTATGATTGATGAAGAATTTATTAGACACATGTCACATGAACTTTGTTTTTTTGTCCTCAGAAATACTCAAGTCATTTGAGATAAGGTTCAAGTTATTTATGAGTTTTTCCCTCTTTACAAAAAAAAATACAAAGATTAAAATATCAGTCCATTTTCCAAAGAGTATTTAACAAATTAGGCTACCAAATTCTAATTGGATGCAACGAATGTAAATTTGGGTCTTTAACAGTGAAAAGCAAAATACTTCATCTTTTCAGCTTAGATTAAAAATGAAACTGACAGTTTTTCTTCCAATCTGTTAAACAGATTGGTGTGGAGGGGGAGGAAGTGTTACTAGAACAGTCCAATTTAAAAGAATTTAGTTTTTATTGGGCTTTTCATAGCAAATTTAAAAATAAAAGTATAAAACATTTTTAGAGATTTTCAATATAAAGATGAAAATATTGTATTAAATACCTAGTGCCTGTTTAAAAAAAAAAAAAATCTAGCTGTGGCAAATTTACGTTGTGTATGTATGTATGTATACAACATTTTGTGTCTTATCACTGTATACACATAGTAGCAAGACATTGTCAAACCAGAAACTTGTCTATAAAGCAAACCAAAAATATCAACTATTGCAAAGCAAAAAATAATGTTAACAAAAATTAAAATTTAATAATTGACTGAAGCAGTTTGAATTGAAACCCAAAATCAGCGGCAAAATATGGCAAACACAAAAGATCCTTCAAATCCATTTAATGCCACTCAGACACTTCTTGACAATCAGCTAAAATGATAAACTTTCCAAGAAAAACGTGTGGAAAGGATCAATTTAGCATTTACAGAAAATGTAACACTAAAGCTGAATATACTTTTAAACACTCATCTGATGTCTTGTATGGAACATCATTTACCATCAAAAATACTGAATATAAAAATGAAGAATTTTTCTAGACAAAGAGAAAACTGCAGAAACATAAGCATCAATAAAAAATTTGTTTTCTTCTAATTAGAAAACTGAAAATGACTGCAAAGAATCAAACTTATCTGCCTTCAATGATTCTAAATCATTTTACATGACTAGGATTAAGGAGAGTTTAGGATGAAGCCAGACTATTATCAGGGATCTGGTCAATTTTGTTTTCTCTCTTAGATCCACTTATAAAATGCTTTATTCAGAGCAAAAATAATTTTTAAAGAAAAAATTAGGAAAATATCAAGAGTAATAAGGCTATTCGTATTTATGCAATTAACAATGATACTTCATAAAAAAAGAAAAATAGTTTTTGAAAGCACTATCGAAACTTAACACAATCCAAGCTATAATAAAATAAACAAAAAAAAAAAAAAAAAAAAACACACATTAAGTCAGAGTTTAGTAAATTATGCTTTCGTTTCCCCAAAATGTAAATTTATAAAATACAATTATATATATCTTGTCAAAAAGATAAAATTTTTTTTAATACTGAAGCCACACTTTGAAAAGTAAAATACAGTCATCTAATTCTATAAGAAATTATTTTATTAAAATAAGTGTTGGCTTATGTAAAGTTGCAACAATGTGAAAGTAACATTTCAGCTTCTCATTTACTACCCCTCTTTTTAGGTAAAGTAAGAGAGAAAATAGATCACATATATATTATATATACACACACACACACGTGTGTGTGTGTCTAGTCGAGCGGTACAAGCATTCGCTTTCTGACCATGAGACTGGTTTGAATCTCACCATGTTCAATTTGTCAGGAAGGTAACTTCTTGATGTTATTGGTCTGGAAGAAGTGATGCCAGCATGCAGCATCTTTGGAAAGTGCCTGAAAAACCATACCATGGTTTGACCCAAGTCTTGTCATTGAAATTGGGTAGATGGAACCCTTGGGAACCATAGGTGGTTGTGCTAGCACAAAGTCACAAGTCATCATGACTAAGGGTTTGAGCATGCTGGCTTTGTTCAGACTGTTGATCACGCACTCTCTCCCAGAAGCTGTAACTAAAGTTTGCTCTGTGGGTGTTGAACAATCAAATGTGGCTGAGCAGACGCCTGCAATGTGGATTAGCTAGCTGCCCCAGTAGAGTGTGTGCATGCATATATATATATATATATATATATATATATATATATATATATATATATATATGTGTGTGTGTGTGTGTGTGTGTGTGTGTGTGTGCACAAAATTCTGATTTAAAATCCAATAATACCAAACGGATCTAATAGATATGGAGAAAATAAACAAAAAAAAAAAAAAAAAAACACAAGCAGACACTGTTAAATGTGGACATTAGAAAGTGATAAGGTAATTTGATTCCCACTTATACTCAGAGATCTCAAGGCATTTTCCTCAAAGTTTTGCTTTTCATTTTAACCTGAGGAAGCCAAAGAGAGCAAAAACACTGGCAAAATGTGTCATTAATAAATTTTCACTCAAGCATCTGTTCCCACTAAAAAGTAACATTTATAGTAATTAGAATTAATGTTGTATAATAAAAAAAAAAAAAAAAAAAGACTCAAGAAATTCCTGTTCACATTTCATGTATCAAACTGAAGTTAGCAAATACAGATTTATAGAAGTCCCAACAAGGAACGTCCATTCCTTAAATAGGTAATTCAAACCCTGCTCTATCAACACAGCTTATGTGGCCAAATTGGTAAAGGCATGTATTGACTACAGAAATGGTTTCTCCCCAATAAAAAAAGGAGATACAGGTTCAATTCCTGTTGTAAGCACAATCTTTATTTAGTGTGATTTCTCAATCTAGGCTGGTTATTATTTTCAAGAAAAAAAAAAAAAAAAAAAAAAAAAAAAAAGATTGCAACTGTAATATGTGTACCCCCTAAAAATACATATTCTTGTATGATTTGCAACATTTATGTACTGACCAGTTGGCCAATATCTATGACTACCATCTTTTGTCCACATTCCCTGTCCTGTTTGAATGACAGTGAAAATTTTTTTCACAGGTCCATCTCTTTCAAATTTGTATACATATACATAATACATCAACACAAAATAGATATATTCTCTGTATGAAGAGATGAATTTCAACAGTTATTAAGCTGAGAATTTATACTTTTTCGTTACAAATCAGCATTAGTAACATAAAAAAAAAAAAAAAAAAAAAAAAAGAGTATGTGAGCACATTTGAGTTTTAGCAGTGGTAACAGTGATGCAGGAGACAAGCCATGTTCCAAGTGCAGTATGTGCATTTTTGTGCATTACTGGAAAAAAAAAAAAAAAAAGCATAGTGACTGTTTTTGAAGATGAAAAATTGTCTGTGTTGTAGTTTCTGTAGAAATATATAGGCGAAATTACGTCCAGAGTGTCCCTGTGTGTGCACGCGCGCACACACACACTACATATAGAGATAAATAATGGCTAGCTCATCTTGTTTTCTGAACATACCCGTCAACTACAGTAGCTAATCTATTGCAGACAAATGTTCAGGCACATTTGCATTTCCCCACCCACCAAACACCCACACATCTCATGTTGCAGTTAAAACAGAGTGGGCCCTAGTTACAGTTTCTGGGAGAGAGCACATAATCTGTCATGATCAGTAGTTTGAACAAAACCAATGCATTCAAAAATGTGGTCTCGATTATTTGCAACTTCATACTAGCACAACCCTTGACAGATTATGAACAATTCCATTTACCTAATTTCATTCACAAGGCAGGGGTCAACAAGTGGTATAACTACCAGGCTCTTTTAAAAGGTGCCACACACTGGGATCATCTCCCCCAGATCGGTAACATTGAGCAACCATCCTGATAAAGGGAACTGAGTAGGACTCAAACCAGGGAAACATGGTTAGAAAGCAAACTAACCACACTGCCACATGCCCAGACCCACTTAAAAGTTAGATGAAGAAATATCTAACTTTAGGAAAATAAATATACAGGACATAAGCTAATGCTGAAATAATTTCAGCAATTTCATGTTTTGTTAGTGCAGTTATCAATATTTTAAAATCTGTCAGAATTATGCAGGCAAAGTCAAGGGAAATATCTTAAACATAACCCTTTAAATAAAAGAATCACCCATTGAATGAGGTAAATTTGGGCCTGAATTTTTGTATTTTTATAGTAGTATTACAAATGCAAAGAAAGAAAGAGTAAAGCTTTGTAAAAAAAAAAAAAAAATTCAAAAAGTTCCTTTAAATAATGCTTGCGCTACATTTGAATTCAGGAAAAATGAATGTAAATGTTGAATAAAATATAAGCAACTTCTAAAGAAAGAAAAAGTACATTTAGAAATTTCCTGCAAGAAACCAAGTTTTGAATAAGCAGGCCATAATGCAGCCATATTATATTCTGATTAAGCATTTGTTTAGAAAACAAAAAGTTGTGTGTAGGGGAGGGGTATGATAGCTTTTCTTTTTTCTTTTTAAATATAAATTAGCAATTTTTTCTCCCCTCTTTTCCATCAGAATCAAAGAAGCAGACATTTTGTTTAAATACATGCCAAGAGTTGAATAGTCAAA